GACCACCTAAAGCTTAACCGTTTCAAAACTAATGAAGACACTCACCTAGATCTTAAGGGCTTAGTAATAATCTAAGTTAAATCAAGACTGATTAAATGAGGATTACTAAAAAAAACACAAATAAAATTAAAAAATCTTTCAAACACTACAAGCCCAATTAGGACCAAAATTTGGCTGAGTGTTCCAATAACACTAACTTGCCTCTTTAAGGGCCTTCACCCACATAATCTTCAAAATTAAATTGCAGATGATAATTACCTTACTCTTAGGGATAACTGAGACATCAATGTTCATTGAACATTAGGGTGTTCATAGAATGAACTATTAAGCAACATAATAAGTTTAAATGAGCTCGAGGCTTTTCACCAGCTGATAAGAGAGAAACATGGACGTGCTTCCCCCTCTTAACCTATTGGATACCTCCGAGATCTACTAAACTTAATATATTTTGCTTGGCAACATCATCCTTAATTAAACTCCTAAGGACCCACCATGATATGACCTAGGGTTAGATAGGTCTTCAAAATTTTACTCCCCTGTTTCATATAAACTGCTTTAACATGCCTTTTGAGTTTTAGGTGGTGGAACGAGTAGACTCGCCAGATACGCTTTTACAGTTTTCAGCGTTGTCTTTCTTTTACTTTCATACTATACTTTTATACCTGCAAACTTGCATGCTAAAAAATGATGTAACCCTGCATGAAAACTAAAACTATCAGGATAGCCACAGAACCCAAACTAAAATTAAAACTCTGGGCAGTCTTTGGGCCAGATTTATGCTAAGGAAGTATTGCAGATTTATACATCCTGCCCTTGAATCCCAAAAAGTAGGGGACTTTAGATTGTGGTCCAAAATGTTGAATATCAAAATTAAGGATGAATTACTTTTTCTGTGTTAGCTAGGAGAAGGACAAGTTAACTTATGGTTGGATCACTAGGTCAGCAATGGGGAGAAGCTTGAGTGCCATATCTCCCACCCTAACTTTAACAACCAGTTCAAAGACCTTTGGTCTGAAGTTCAGTGGAACTGTATGATGCTCAATAATGTCTTATCCAATGAAAAAGTTAGATGTCTTAAGGATACTCCTTTCTCATCTAACCAGAAAGATAAAATTGTTACTAAACATGCCATTTCCCAAAGATTATCTACCTACATTTATCATTAATTTTTTCATTGGAATCAGGTGGCCTGGGGTAAAGCCATTTAGGGTGAGCTCCTAACTCCTTCCATGTCATTCTTCAATTGGAGACTTTGGCATTCCTTACTCCCTACTGATGATATCTTAAAGATGAAAGGGCTGAGAGGGCCTTCAATCTACCATCTATGCAATGTTGCAGAAGAATCATTGGAGCATTTATTTTTCACCTGTAATTTCTCCAAAAGAATCTGGTCAGGGCTTCTGTATCATCTGAAAATTGACACCTGTAACTTAAGTTGGCTCAAGTTTATCACTTGCTGGGAGGATTAGCAGAATAGTAACCTCTTAGTGATCCCTTGTTTGGTTGCTTGGTTTATATGGATGTGCAGAAAACAAGTTAAGTTTGAGGAACACTTTCGTGGGTCAAATTCAGTGATCTTAAACTGCACTTCTTACATTCAAAAATTGATCAAGTATCACCATTTCCTAAAAGAAATAAAAAATTTGACACCCAGCAAGACCAATTTTCATCCACATAAGTCCATATTAGTTTTTTAGAGCCCCCTATTAATGGCTGGTGGAAGTTTAACACTGATGGCAGCTTTTCAAAAGATAATGCTGGTGTTGGGGGAGTCTTTAAGAACACTCCTGCAAAATGTATCTTGTACTTCACTGCTCCTATATAGCCCTTGATGCTTTGGAGGAAGAATTTAGAGCTATTTTCTGGGCCATCAGAATTGCACATCTATGCTATATGGGCCCCCTGATTGAAGAAACTGATTCAACTGTTTGCATTAACATTTTTCTTAATGATGAAGCTCCTCCTAGGAACCCAATCAAGTGGAATAGCCAGTTGAAAGTTCTCTTACACTATTGTAGGGTGGAATTTAAAAATATTCCCAGGGAGGGCAACTGCCCTGCCCTTTGGCTTGCTTCCCAGGGAAGGAACACTGAGCATATTTTATATACATACACCCTATTTTCCATACTTGTAATTACTTCTCTGTTGCTAATCAATCTATTACTGGGTACTTCTCTGCAAGTAATCCTTAGCCATACTTGTAACTACTTATTTATTGCTAATGAATTTGCTGCTGGGTACTTCTCTGTAAGTACTCCTTAGTAGCGTTTAGTATATATATATATATATATATATATTTGTATAAGGAGCCAAGCTCCAATTCATTAAAAATAAAAGAAACCAGTTACAATGACGAAAAAGAGGTACTTTAAAAGGAGGCAACCTCTCAAAACATCAAAGAGGAGCTATCTAATATAGGGAAGAGATAAAAGATCACTTGATAGTAGGAAATCCAGTGAGCGAGGAATCCTTCTGCTCACCAAAGGTTCCTCACTGTAAAGACCCCTTATAGACAGCCAATTGGAAGGTTTGTTACCTTCTCTGTGGATATGAGAAAACTTTATAGAGTAATTCTTCAGCAATTGATGAATCTCAGAAATCCAGCAGATTAAGTTCCAGGGAGTGTCACAAGAGCCCTTGATAATATTAATAAGCAGTAAGGCATTAGATTCAACCCATAGCTCGTTGAAGTGGCAAGTTCTGGCTAAATTTAGGGCCCAAAAAACAGCTTGACATTCAACTTCAAGAGGATCCAAAGCTATAACAGGAGATTTAAAATAAAAGATGCACCTCCCCTCCTGATTCCTGAAGACACCACCAATTCCAGCATAATGAGATTTGTAGCTAGCATCAGTGTTAACTTTTATCGATCCATACTTGGGAGGAGAACAGCAAATATTCAAAGCCTTGGTAATGGAGGGATTAGAAGAGGGGATTAGCTCCAACACAGTTCCAAAGTTTTTAAATTTAATCAATTTTTGTACATAGGCAATGCAATTTAGGCCCACCTTCATTGGCTCTAAAGGAGAAGCTTCATACTTCAAGTGGTTTCTTGTCATCTAAACAAACCAAGCCACAATGTTTGGGATATCTTGAAGTTTGATTCCCCTCCAATCAGACCAATCAGACCAGCAATTGACCAGCAATTATATAATACATCCCATGATAGATTCATGGTTGGAACATTCAGCTTTGCAAGCACAATAAACCAAATATTTTGTACCCAAGGGCAGGCAAATAAAAGGTGAGCAAGTGTTTCCTTCTCATTCAGACAAAAAACACATCTAGAGGGTCCTCTTAGACGCTTCAATTTCAAGATATCATCAGTGGGGATAAACTTTGAGAAGAGTCTCCATATGAAAAAGGATATGGAAGGAGTAAGAAATTAGTTCCAAATTATATGACCCCAATCCACCACCTGCTGGGGAGGATGAGTTGGGGGTATGTTCTTTTTTATAGAAATTCTATCCTTTTTCCCATGTTTAATAGAGAATTTCATAATTTTGGAGATTTGAGGGGGGTTGCAAAAAGGAAGGATAGGAGTAAGGTTCCACTTATCATGTTCCCAAAGGTCCTTCACATACTTGGAAAAGGCTGGAGCATTTTGGTCAAGAAGCAGGCTGCCATAAGACCAATTATCCCACCAAATGTTTACCTGACCATTACCTATCTCCCAGACAAATATTTGTTCAGCTTCCTCCCTAATCTGTAACATCTTTTTCCAAATAGGAGAGTCCCCGAATCCCACAGATAATTGGGTAGGGTGTTGGTGCTTACAATATTTACCTTATAAGAATTCAGCCCAAAGAGAAGGAATGAGATCTGAATTTAATCCAAAGTTTACATTTAGAGTGCATTATTTGAGGAAAAGACTTGAAGCCTAATCCTCCTTCCAAAAAAGGTTTACACTCCTTAGCCCATTTAGTCCAGTGTTTTTGCTTCCTTTGACCAGCCCATAGAAATCTATTGAACATACCTTCCAATAATCTTTGAGTAGTCTTTTTTAAAATATTCATTTGCAGAAGAAAAGATGGAATAGAAGATAGAAAACTTTTCATAAGGGTTATCCTTCTCCCATTGGACAAATAAGAATTCTCCCATTCTTGCAGTTTGCTTTGAATCTTCTCTAGAATATGATCAAACTGAAATTTTTAGCTCTTCCTTTGATAAGAAATATCCCTAGATACTTCACAGAAAGATGGCTATTGGTACAGCCAGTGAAGTCAGAAACTCAGGTTCTAAACTCACTTTTGCATTTTTTACTGAAAATAGTAGTGCACTTCTGATCATTCAACTTCATTCCAGAGACTTCCAGAAAATTCTCTAAGCTTTGCATGAATAATCTAACAGTAGACTTGGAAGCTTTTAAAAATATACTGATATCATTAGAAAAAGCCAAATGGTTAATTAAGATGGAAGATCTATGCTTATAAAGGGAGTGGGGTTTCGTGGCTGCCCTATCATTCCAAATTCTTGATTA